TCTGGTGGGACACGCACACAGTCACAACAACACACACACACACACACAAACACACACACACACACTCACCACACAAAACACACACACACACACACACACACACACACACACACACACACACACACACACACACTCACACACACACTCACACAGCACACACGCACACACACACACTCAAGCACACACACACAACACAACACAACACACACACACACATAAACACAACCACACACACAACACACACACAGACACACACACACTCAAGCACACACACACACACACACACACACACACACACACACTAACACACACGCACACACACACAAACACACACTCAAGCACACACACACAAAAACACAACCACACACACTCAAACACACACACACATAAACACAACCACACACACACAAACACACACACACTCAAGCACACACACACACTGACTACAGTCGACCTCTGCAGACGTTATGTTTCTAAAGACACCAATGGGAGGCATCCATTCCTGACTCCTCCTCCTCTTCCTCTCTCACCTCATCATTCTCTGTGTCGTTGGCCATTATTGTTTGCTTCCTGGGGAGATTTGAGGATGGGTTCCTGCTTCTTCCTGCAGTTTAACATCAGCTCTCTGGGAGATGCTGTGCTGGTGGTTTAACTTAAAGTTTATTTTTTGGCTTTGGCTCATTCTGAATGTGTAGGCTTTATGAGCGCTGAAATTCTTTCAGTTGATCTGAGGGATGGTTTTCAGGTTGCATTTTAACGACTCAAAGTGAGTCTGTTGTTTGTCTGAGGTGCTGGTTTCAGTTCTCTGTGACACTGAACCTTTACATTCAAACTCCTGCCTCCATGAATCACACACACAGCCTCTCATTCAGTCAACTTCCTGTTTTATTTTGAAGGTTCCCCATGTAGGTTTCTGTTTGCCTTTGTTCTTTTTCTCGGCCTCATAGAGTTCCCCTGGTCCTCGCTTCCCCTTTGAATTTGCCTGAGGTTCATAGCACGCTGATGTTACCCAGCGACATGTTTAAGAACCTGCAGCTGACCCTCGTCTCTGGACTTGGTTGGAAAAACCAAGAAAGGTCAAATTTATGCAGATCTTGGAGATCTTCCCTCGCTGTCTGCTGGAGCCTCTGTTGGACGAATGATTTCATATCATTTCTCTGATCACATCAGCATAAAACCAGCAAAACATTCTCAAACAACAGAAAATACACAGCACGAGGACGACGTCCATCTGTGACGTGTGAATGTCACCATGTAGCAAATGAGAAGCAGACAAATATCAGACACATGATGTTTGTATGTGAAACGCTCTCCATGAGCTGTCACTCAAACAGGTAAAACATGCAGACACGTGCATTTGATCAGATCTGATCAGGATCTTGGGCGTGATTGGAAACGGCATCAGAAGCCAAGACTGCGTGCTGTGAGCTGGTTCTGTTTAAGAAACATGTGCTGCTCAGAAAGTGTGATCAAGTGTTTCACATCTTCTTTCAGGTAAAACTACAAACACGATGCAGCCGCCTCAGGAGCCTTGTCCCTCCATGACAGAACCTCCAGCCGAGAACTCGAGAGTCCACCAGAGTCCCGATGAAGCAGCTCTCTGCTGGAGCACAGACCTAGGTCACCTTCCAGAGGACGACGAGCAGGAGGAACATGATCCAGATCCACCTCAGGACCAGCCAGAGGTCCAGGAAGTAAAGCAGGGTGCAGCAGCTGATGACCAAGAGGCGGGAGGCCAGGAGCGGAAGGAGGACAGAGGTGAGAGGTCACGAACTGTTGTGTGAGGATAGCTGGACAGAAGCATCAGTTAAAACCAGGTTTAGGTTCTGAATGAACTCTGGTCATCATGTGACCACAGACGCTCGTACCTGACGCAATGCCGAAGCGCACCTGTCAGCAGAGAGAGCAGGCTGAGCAGCAGCCAGGTGAAGGTGTATCGGAGGCTAGTTTAAACGCTACTTCTTTGAGGGAACCGCGGCATCAGCGGGCATCGTTACAGCGCGAGTGACGGCGCACGACTGAAGGCAGAGTAAACAGAGAAGAAGCTATCGCCGAAGCTAGGAGCGCTCCTCCTAGAGGAGCCGCCTCGGACCATCGCAGCGGCGACCATCCAACGGAAACGCAGCAGAGCTGACGCTGTAATATAGCAGTGCAGCTACCTGGGACTTTGTCTCACTCTGGAAAACGTTTGCCAGCCTCGGGAGCGTGGGACAGCTGTAAGATGGTGGCTCTGCAGCGTGTTTGTGATGCGCGCTGAGCGCAGGACTGAGCCTGAGAAAGGAAACGCAGGGGCAAACAAGCAGAGGGCTGTGGTTTGTGGTCGGCATCGTCACCCTGCAGCCAGCAGCTCGCCTCTGTGCCGCTGCCTCACGCTGTGACCGGGACTGACAGATTATTGGGAACACGGCGCGGCCGCTCGGCCTGCGTTACTCCCGCAGCTCCCGATGAAGCTGCTGGCCTGTTTGGAGGCGGAGCTTCCCTCTGTGGTTTCTTCCCTCTGTCACAAGAACATGAGAACCTGAGAGGCTGCAGCAGTCAGTCAGAGTGCACCAACGCACCACAACAGGAAGTGATGGAGGTGTGATCACACCTCCACCTCTCTGCACATGTGAGAGCAGCTAATAGATCCTGTTTAAGATAACAGCACAGGAAATGCCCTTTAACCCTTCAGCACCCAGCAGACACACACACA